TTTGGCTGCCGGGGTTCTGCTTGGGACGGGGAGGGAAACTCAACCCGCCGCCCTCTGAGGGGCCCTGGTGAAGACAGCCTAGTGTGGGGGCAGGAGATTCTGCCCTGCTAGCATCAATCACTTTTTATCTTCTTACTATGTTTCTCTACAATCTACATGAGATTCACTTAGCTCAATATCATACCCTGTAGTTTCATCTACACAGCAATGAACAGCATGATTTTATCTATCTTACAGTTGAGTAGAGACAGTAAGATGGATTGATCAGTCAATTTTGCTAAACTTTTAAAGTACTTAAGCCTCTTCTGCTAAGACTAAAAATTTTTTTAAAAAAGAATATTTCTAACCATGATATTGAATATAAATAAGTTTGGGAGCTTGTGGCTTGAAAGTCAGTATTTAAGAGACAAGAATGTATAGGTTTAATAGGTTTATTCAGTAATATGGAGTAAAGGATTTGTTCATGTTCCAGCAACCTGAGAAGATTGTGAACTTGGTCAGGGAGAGAGGAGATCTAGACAAAGGCATCTTCCTCAAGATAATCACAGTTAACGTGCCACTTAAGGATTATCTAATCAGAACTGATGTGGTCCTATTGGTTTGACACAATTAGTCTGGGGCAATATTTTGTTCTTCTAAGACAACACCCAGATATTTGCAGAGTGCCACTGATACTACACACAAGATTGCATTAGAACAAGACCCATTTTTGCACCAAAGAGCTCATGACTACAAAATGCAGTTGGCAATGCCATATCCGCTCATCCAGAACTAGCCCGATACAACAGTGAGCTGGCTACCAGAGGTGTAGATGAAGTACTACCTGGCCGAGCACATAGTGAGATTTGGAAACTATCTTCCAATCCAGGACACAGTATATATAGCCCTGAGCCTTAGTGGTCAATGGTGCCAATACAGCTGCACACAAAAATCATAGCAGTGGTCTCTTCAACTATGATATCTAGTGACATGCATCGGTTTTTCCACCTTTCACACAACTCTTGAGTGTTTTGATATTCATAGGTTTTGGTTCCTAAAGGTAAGCATGGGACATATTCTTTCAGCTGTGATGGCTACCTGACTACATTTCATTCAGAAAAAAAAAAGGGACTAATAGGTCTGGGGTTATGACAGACAAATTCCAGACATATGACTGCCAGCACTTAATGGGAGTATGACTGGAACCTGGGAAAATAATAGGACATTTCTAAACTGTGAGGCCAGCAGTGAGTTCGACCAACATGGAAAATAACTGAGGGCTGATTCCTGGAGCAGAGCACATAACCTTGACTGTCTAAAGCACTGCTCAAGTGAAAGGACTATTTCAGAGGGGATTCAACTTTCATATCAAAACAGGCCACTGACATGGAGATGTGATATCAAATGACAATGCCTGCAGGATAGAGCCTCAGGATGACACAGGCGGCTGCGTACATGAGTGGCAGCAAGTGAACATCAAACAATCACAAAACCGTTCCCTCATTACTGTCCTCTCTCCAATGTCTGGGTCTCCACCTGCACAGGCTGACTTAGGTTCAGCGATCTGGCTGCTGCTGCAGGCTGGCAGAGTGCAGAGGTGAAATCCGCACTGAGCGTGGACCCCAAAAACCCTCCAGTGCCAGAGTCTTCTAAGAAGAGTCAGATTAAACATCCCCCTCTTGCCAACTGTGGGGAGTAGGAGAGTTGTTACCCTCAGTGTTGACCAGAACAAGAGATAGGGGAAGGGCAAAGTAAGCACTTGAGCAGGAACCTGTACCAGATGGTTTTGCCTGACTGGAACACAGGTCTGGAACAAAGATCTTCAGAGAGTTAACAAGAAATTCTCCATGAGTAAGGTGCTTTGTGCCTTACACCTCTGAACCCTGGGAAATGGTGATGAGGGCAGCAGTCCAGGGATGATTCAAGCCATGCAGGCCTCACTGGAAGGACTTGTGGCTGCCTGTCTTCCTTGGTGCCAGGCTTGGTTCACCAGTCTTCCTATACTGACTCGGTAGGCAGCTCTACTTCCTTCTAACAAAGTCTCATACCCAGAAAATTATTTTATCACAGGTATAACATCTTTTATAAAGAGAAAATTTGCTCCAGACATAATTCAAGATCTGGAAAAACACAAATACTCAGGTTAAAAGGTAGATTAAGGTCCTGGGGGTATGGTGGCACCAGCAGGTCAATCTGTACCTGTGAGGCAAGTGCATCAGCAGCCTGATGGCGCCTTCAGACTTCCAGATACCCCAAAATTGCTGCTGTGCCTTTGGCCAGACCCCAAAAACTTGGGGCAAAGTTTACCAAGAAAGTAAACGGCCAAAAGTTAGGTATGTGGGAAACACACCCACAAACCACCTCCGGCTCAGCTATATAATTGGGGTCATGGCCTCTCTGGTTCCTGATTGAACTGCTTAATGGCCATGATCCCAGAGAATCAGAAACAAATCTCAAAACCCAGTGGCTTTAGGCAGAAATGCGTCTGGTCCCTGCAGTAGGTTACCGGTGCTTGGCCAACCCAGGTGGGAATAGGTTTCGTGCCTTGGCCTGTTCCCCCTGGCGTCCCAGTGGCTGCCATCCTTCAGAAGCTACTGAATAGTCAGGTTTGGGCCCCTAGTGACGAGACACGCAGAACTTCACGGGATGGGGTAGAGCCGGTCCTGTCCTCCCCACCCCAATGAGACCCCAAGTCATCGCCCACAAAAGGGCCTCTCTGGCTCCCAATCAAGCAGCTTAACGGCCATGATCCTAGAGACTCAGAAACAAATCTCGAAACCCAGTGGCTTTTGGCAGAAATGTGTCTGGACGCTGCAGTAGATCACTGTCGCCGGGCCACCCCAGGGGGGAAAGGGTGTTGTCCCTCCACCTGATCCCCCTTGGCGGGCTGGTGGCCATCATACATTAGACAGTCAGTTCTGGGCTCGCAGTGATGAAAATTGTTGGGCCTCACAGGATGGGGTTGGAGCCGGTACTGGTCTCCCCATCCCAACGAGACCCCAAGTCATCGTTCACGAACGGCCTCTCTGGCTCCTGATCAAGCTGCTCAACGGCCAGAGACTCAGGAGCAAATCTCAAAACACAGTGGCTTTTGGCAGAAATCCCTCCAGATTTAAGTGTTAAAATTTCAGAATTTCAAATTCACATGGCCCTACTGCAGCCACGCAACATCATATGTTATTCATAACCAGCAATAGAAGACAAATTGTCTACTGTTGCCTTTTCAGCAGATCTGAGTGTTGGGGTAAAATCTCAAATAATAATGGTGGATCTGGTTTTGAAATATTGAATATGATCAAAGTAGAGAGAGAGTAATGTAGAAATCATCTGCCCCACAGGTAGGGGGAGGGTGTGGGATGGGAGTATACTGGGGTTTTTGGTGGTGAAGAATGGGCACTGGTGAAGGTACGGGTGTTTCATTGTATGACTGAGACTTAGACCCGAAAGCTTTGTAATTGCTCTCACGGTGATTCAATAAATAAAATTATAAAAAATTTAAAAAAAAAAAACACTTTCCTCCTGTTGTTCATTGATTTTCTCGAGCAGGCCCAGTAACGTCTCTGTTGTGAGACTTGTTGTTACTGTGTTTGGCATATTGAATACATCATGGGTAGCTGGCCTGGCAAGCCGTGCAGGCGAGATACTCTCAGTAGCTTGCTGGGCTCTCTGAGAGGGGCGGAGGAATCAAACCTGGCTCGGCCAGGCTGGCTGCGCACAAGGTAAATGCCCTACTGCTGTGCTATCCCTCCAGCGTTGTGTGTCAAATGAACTGAATTTGTTTCAATTCCCACTGTTTGCAAGTAAGAACTCTGACCAGTCGGAGTGATAATGTGGGGTGTTTGCCTTGCACGCAGCTAACCCAGGTTCAATCCCAGGCAACCCATATGATCCCCTGATCCCTGCCAGGAGTGATCCCTGAGCCCATAGTCAGGAGTTAGTCCTGGGCATCACTGGATATGACCCCAAAACAAAACAAAACAAAAAACAAAAGAACTCTTCGTGACATGTCCTCTAAATCAATCAGGATTTCCATATGAACCTACTCCAGGACACATGAAAACACAGACCAGAGTTTCTGCAGTTAAAAAGCAAGCATTGTTCATTAGTACATGTCTAAAGTTGTAATACAAACTAGGAAGGTTAAAAAAAATCAAGTTACTTGAAAAATATAAAATTTACATAACAAAAAATCCGTGTTACAGTACCAGCATACCTCCCTGCCACTCACATTTCTATCATCTGGGACAGGCTGAAGGACATTGTTAAAATTAAAAAGTGGGCCTCTTTTGTAAACCACAACTCCCAAAAGGAGAGAGAGAACAAAAGGGAGTGCCCTGCCACAGAAGCAGGGTGGGATGGGGGGATGAGGGATGGGAGGGATTCTGGGATTAGTGGTGGTGGAGAATGGACACTGGTGGAGGGATGGGTACTCGATCATTGTATAACTGAAACCCAAGCACAAGGATTTGTAAGTCTACAACTGTACCTCATGGTGTTTCACTAATAAAAAATATATATATATAAATTGGTTAATAATGGGTTAAGTATGGTTTTGTTGTATTTCTTGCTGCTTATATGAAAATAGAGGTGAATGTCACTGATTTGTGGTAATGATTTAAGAATAGTCACAGGGGGCTGAGAGAGAGAGTATAGCCAGGGTATTTGCCTGCATGCAGCCAATCCAGGTTCAATCTCTGGCACTACATGTGGTCCCCCAAACACTACCATGAGTGACCCCTGGTCACAAAATCAGGATTAAGCCCTAAGCACAGCCAAGTGTGAAACCCCACCCCACCCCCCAATAAAAATAGATGCAACCAACCAAGGTTCTATCCCTGGTACCACATATTGGTGCCCTGAGCCCCATCAGGAGTGATCCCTGAGCAGAGAGCCAGGGGGAAGCCCTGAGCACTGTCAGATGTAGCCTCCCAGACAAAACAATGACAAAAATAGTACTGGAGCACAAAGCCTGGCTCACAGCAGGTAGGTGCGAAACGCCAATTCATCCGCATTGAAGCACATTCATTTCGGTCTTTGTAGTTACACGAGTTCTCTGACTTGACTGAATCCGGCCCTTCAGTCTCGCGACATTCTGAAATAGTAGGATCTGAGGACACTCGTTCCAGTTTTCCTGGATTCCACACCTACAATGCTCATGCTGTCACACTCCACATGGGTGAACCCACTGAAAAGGAAAGGACATTCTGTGGCTCATCTGGGAGGAGGATGAATGTCTAAAATTCAGCCTAACGGGAAACCACCAGTCTCCTTCTCCTGGCCAAACAAGGGATTTCCCAAGTGTTCATTTTAAAACAGAACACAAAATTACATTCTTCTTTCTTTTTTTCTTTTTTTTTTTTTTTTTTGGCGAGGGGAAGTTGGGTAGCCATACCCAGCAGTGCACCGGGGGTTACTTTTGGCTCTGCACCCAGGGATCACTCTTGGCAGGCTGGAGGGATCCTATGAGGTGCCAGTGATAGAATCTGGGTCAGCCGTGTACAAGGCAAACACCTACTCACTACACTACTGCTCCAGCCCCCAAAACTGGTTCTTCCAGAGTTTACAATCTCACCCATAACTCCCCCTACCATGAAGGTTGGTGAATAGATTTAGGATTTTTCTCTTTCTGAGAAAGGGCTGTGTGGGGCCCCCAACTTGGAAGAAGAGGCCATGCTCAGTGCAAGTGATGGTCTTACAAATAAGAGAGATAATGCACTTCAAACAGCATCTTTTTATGGAAAAACAAACACACAAAAAATACAAACACAGTGTGAGTGTCTGAGCAATGGCTTGCTTCAGGCCTCCAGGTGGCAAAGGACAGGCTGTGCTAAGAGCCCCTGCCTTACTCACAGCCTAGCATTTCCCCGGGCACCCTTGACAAGATAGTACTGAAGGCACAGGGAAGTTACTTCATGGGCCAGGGGAAGTGTGGGAAAAGCAATTACCTGGACCATCTGTGGGACCCTCCAAGCAAGTGATAGCAGCTCTTGAGGACAGGCCATTTCCCATCCTTTTTCCACATGTAGATTCGCAAGGAGAGGTCAAGGGAAGAGGTGACGACTCGGCTCTCATCCTTGAAAGAGAAGCCCAGTGAAGCAGGAATATGGGCTCCTCGAGGGGGGGCCACGATGTGGGCAGGTGCCATACTTACCACCCATATAGATGTGATAGACTGCTGGTGGTCCTGACTGGCTGCCAGCTGCAGGCCGTGGATGGTGAAGACCATCAGCTGCAAACCAGACACCAGTAGGACCACCTGAGACCCGTGAGCTTTCAGGAGATGCGGGGCCACCGCGGTGTCTGGCAGGGGAAAGCTGGCAATCTCCTGTACTTTTTGGAATGAAAACACTTGGATTAGGATGTCTTGACAGCAGCTGGGCATCAGAATACATAGATCTTGTCTAAGACAAGTCAGTACACTGGAAAAAAGCAGCAACTCTGTACTCCCCTTATATTTAATCCTGACCCATAGCTTATTCCCCTAAGTCTGCCTCTCCTGTCTGCTGATTTAAGGAGAGCATTAGAGGGGCTGGAGCGATAGTACAGCAGGCAAGGCGTTTGCCTTGCACGCGGTCGACTCAGATTGCGGGTGGGGGGAGAGAAAGGCGGGGAGAGAGAGCGCATTAGAGGTGGAGCGGAAGCATCTGTCAGGCAGTATCATCTGGCGCTTCTTTAACGGCTTTCATCCATGACCCTTTCTTGCCTGAGAAATGCAACATAGGCCAAGTATTTAAAGAAATACCCGATGTTCTTGGAGAGAGAGTCCAGTAGCTAGGGCTTTGCCTCGAATGTACCCCATCCAGGTTCAATCTCCAGCACCCAATATTGCAAACCACATCGGGTGTGCCCCTGAGTGATCCCCGAGCACAGTGCCAGAAGTAAACCCTGAGTGCTGTTGGTGTGGCCCTCCCCCCCAACAAAACAAAAACAAGCAAACCAAAAGAAGCACCTCAGATTCATTACACAGTTGATTTTGAATTAATGTTTGGTTACCGCATGTTCACAAATCTTTGACTGTAGCCAGATTCTGAATAATTCTCACATTTAGTTATGCACAATGCATGCGGGTCAGTTTTAGAAGCTAGAGTCTAGAGATGGGTGTCTGCCTGCCTTCTGCCCCCATTTCTGACATCTCTGACAGAGAATATGAGGAACACTCTGCTTGCTGCTCCACTATTCCAGTTGAGATGAATCTCTGATTAACACCATCAACCCTACTCAGAAGAGAGAGACAGATTAAAAAAATATCCACTGAAATCAATATTGCAAACCACAATGCCCAAGGGCTGGAGCGATAGCACAGCGGTAGGGCGTTTGCCTTGCACGCAGCCAACATGGTCGACCCGAGTTCGATTCCTCCGCCCCTCTCAGAGAGCCCGGCAAGCTACAGAGAGTATCTCGCCCGCACGGCAGAGCCTGGCAAGCTATCTGTGATGTATTCGATATGCCAAACACAGTAACAATAAAGTCTCCAATGGAGACATTACTGGGCCAGCTTGAGCAAATCGATGAACAATGGGAGGACAGTGAGAGTGACAGTGACAATGCCCAAAAGGAAGGCAGGCAGGGGTGGGGGTGAGGGTGATGGGAGGGAACCTGGGGACAGTGGTGATGGGAAATGTACACTACTGGAGGGAGGGTTGAGTGCTGGATGTTGGAATATTGTATGACTGAAATCCAATCATAAATAGCTTTGCAATGGTCTATCTCACAGTGATTCAATAAAAAAGTTTAAAAAATTAAAAAAATGAAATTGCTAAGAGAGTACATTGGAAAAGTTCTCATCATAAGAAAAACATCGATGTGTAGTGATGACTGTATCTACATTCTCTCTGATGTCATTTTATAACATATACTAACTAGCATCATGTATATACCTGGAAATGAATAAAATGTATTTAAATTATAAAAAGATACTCACTGAAATGAACACCTCACCAAGAATCCTCAATCTAGCTCGATGATCATTCACATTTTTTTTTACAAATTTCTTCATGTTTGCGTTTCAGTCATACACTGTTCCAACACCCATCCCTCCACCAGTGGTGTAATTTCCCAGCACCAGTGTCCCTAGTTTCCCTCCCACCCCTTCAAACCACCCCCCGACCCCGGCCTGCCTCCATGGCAGGCACCTCTCCTCCCTCTCTCTCTCATTTAGGCATTATGGATTGCAATACAGATGTTGAAAGGTTATCATGTGTATCCTTTTACCTGCTTTTAAGACTTAGTTCTTGTCCAGAGTTGATCATTCACATGTGAAGGAATGATACAGAGCTTCAGGGATAGACACCAGCTTAGGGAATTCACAGTCTTGAAACCAGTTTTGCAAGAAACATTTAAGGAGCTTCTTTAAAAGGACAGGACAAACGTCTCAGCACTTAGCATTAAGTATGGCACTTGTTCATGGTACTTATGGTTTCCCTCTAGTGGATTCAGAAATGTTTACTTCTAGCTTTGCTAAGAGATTTTATACATTTTCAATAACGATTTAACACCTCATTTAGAATGAATGTTTTATGGCTGATTAGTTCTTTTTTACAGCCATAGAGACTTTTATTATAATCTTTTACTTATTAATGAAAACACTTAAGAAAAATTCCTTTCTAATATAAAGCCAATATTCCCTTTCTTAGGATAATATGCACTTTGGACTTTTAGAGGCGTATTCCCATTTTTCCCTTTAAAATTTCTAAATTAAAATCTGCACACTCTAGGGGTAAAGGCAGCTCAGATAGAGAAGGGAGCATCAAATAAAGGGTATTGGGAAGATCCGCCCAGGATGGGAGATGCATGCTGAAAGTAGACTATAGACCGAACATGATTGCCACTTTATTCCTCATTTGCAAACCACAGCACCCAAAAGGATAGAGAAAACAAAAGGGAGTGCCCTGCCACAGAGGCAGCGTGGGATGGGGGAATGGGGGGATGGGGGTGGGAGGGATACTGGGATCCGTGGTGGTGGGAAATGGGCACTGGTGGAGGGATGGGTATTCGATCATTGTATAACTGAAACCCAAGCACAAGGATTTGTAAGTCTACAACTGTACCTCATGGTGTTTCACTAATAAAATTTTTTTAAAAATTAATTTTAAAAAATAAAATAAAATTTCTAAATTTTGGGGGCTGGAGAGATAGCACAGCGGGTAGGGCATTTGCCTTGCACACAGCCAACATGGCCGACACAGGTTTGATTCCCAGCATCCTATATGGCCCCCCAAGCACCGCCAGGAGCAATGCCTGAGTGCATGAGCCAGGAGTAACCCTTTAGCATTGCAAAAAAAAACAAATTTCTAAATTTTTGTCCCTTTTCTTACATTTGCAGGATTTACCTGTTTCATGTAAATTCTAAAATGTAAAATTTTCTATAAAATAAATAATTGAAACGTATATGCCTCTAAAAAATAAAATATTTAGTTTTTAAAAAATTATTTGTTTAAAATTTTTTAGCGTTTAAGATTATCTGTACGTGCAGAGTTGTCAGCACCTTCATCGAGAGAGAGAGAGAGAGAGAGAGAGAGAGAGAGAGAGAGAGAGTGAGAGAGAAAGATAGCGCAATCTCTCCCATATGTGGGGGAAAAGAACATACTTATAGGACAACAAATGGTCACAGTCATCAGAACTGATGATTTTTTCTAACTTAACTTACTTGGGGGTAGAAGGCTGGGGAGGAGTCCTTGGGACACTGGTGGAGGGAAGTGGTGATGGGTCTGATTTTGGAATGATGCTTGCATGAAAAATGTGACACTATTTAAACCCCAGAATCTGAATAGAAATGGTTAAAAAAGGGGGCATATAAGAATTGACATTTATAACACCAGTCAAATACTGTTTTCTTTGACATTGTATAGTATCCTTGTTTTAAAAAATAATAATTTGATGATTTTCTTATGGAGTTTAGCACTGAGGGGTTACCTTTGAAATATTTCATGTATATTCTTCTATCAGAAAAAGAATTATATTATACATCTTGTTTCCGCTCAGCTGCCATGAGCTCAGAAAAAAAATCTATAGTCAAATGAGATGAAAAAAAACAAACAATACAAAACCAAAAGCTAAGGACGAGAGGAGTGCATGTGAGACTTGGGAGATGGGAAAGGAGAGGGCTGTGGGCCTTGTTTCCTACTAAACTAGGACCTCTTTAGTGATGAGCCTGTCGTGGTTTTTATGGTCTTTGTGGATACTCAGTGCCAAGAGTACTGGACACCATCTTGGACACAGTCATAAGAGAAGATGCAGAAATGATGGAATCAGAAAGACCAGTGAAAAGACGGGGACTGAGCAGACAGCCGCTGGTGTGACTCCCACTCGCCCTGGACAGAAAAGACAAACCACACATCTTCTGGGTCACTACCATCACTAACAGAAAACAGAAAGCCCGGGGACTCCTGCTGGAAGCGTCAGACTGCAGTGGTGGTGGAGGGAACTGGTGCGATAGTACAGGGGTAAGGTGCATGCCTTGTACACAGCCACCCTGGGCTTAACCCCCCGCATCCCATACGGTTCCCTGCACCTACCCAGCACCTACTCTGGTGCCTTAGCACAGAGCCAGGAGCAACCCATAAGCATCTTCGGGTGTGACCCAAAAACAAAATTAAAAAAAAAATGCAATAGTGGTGACAGTGCTCACACGCTCCTTACCCAGAATGCCCACACTGTCCTTGCACTTCTTAGTCCCCAGCTCGAACGTGGTGACGACCAGCTGCTCGCTGTTATCACTTCTGTGCAGCACTATGAGCCTGGCTGCTTCTAGGGGGACCCAGCAGGCCTTGGACGTCAGCCGGACGGGGAGAAGCTGAAAGACTGGAGGCTCCTCTTCCTGCCGGAGTAGCAAAGAGCGTGTGTGGATCACCTGGGAAAACACCGGCAGTGAGGGAAAGCGTGTCTCAAGCTCTCTCTCCATGCTCCTCCCATCCCCCTAGACTCCCCCCACATCCCTAGACTCCTTCCACACTCCCGGCTCCTCCCACCTCCAGACTCCTCCCACACTCCTAGACTCCGCCCATCCTCTTAGGCTCCTCCCACTTCCAGACTCCTCCCACACTCCTAGACCTCTCCCACACTCTTGGCTCCTCCCACCTCCAGACTCCTCCCACACTCCTAGACCCCGCCCATTCTCCTAGGCTCCTCCCAATTCCAGATTCCTCCCACACTCCTAGACCCCGCCCACACTCCTGGCTCCTCCCACCTCCAGACTCCTTCCACACTCCTAGACCCCTCCCATCCTCCTAGGCTCCTCCCACCTCGACTCCTCCCACACTCTTAGACCCCTCCCAATCTCCTAGGCTCCTCCCACCTCCAGACCCCTCCCACACTCCTAGATCCCGCCCATCCTCCTAGGCTCCTCCCACCTCCAGACTCCTCCCACCTTCCTAAACACCTCCCATCCTCCTTGCCGTCCATCTCCCACCATCCTAGGTTCCTTTCACCCTCTAAGACAGCTCCCATGCCCCTAGATTACTCCCGCATTCCTAGACGCCTCCACAAGCCCCTAAACTCCTCCTATATGCCCTGGCCCATGTTACCAGTTCTTTCCAGGGCTGGAAAGGTTCACTGTTGCCCATGTCTACCCTCTGGAAAGGTCTTGGCACACAGGACCCAGAAGAGTGGGTGTGACAGCTGGGTCTTCCTGACTGGGAGTCATGGTCTGCATCTACTCGTTGTGCCCCCAATTTCTTCCTACAGTCCTTCCCACCTCTTTGAGTCTTGCTCCTGATACCCCTCTCCATCCCCAGGGTTGTGTTATATTCAGGTCCTGGGGGCTGCTGCCCTCTGATCCCATGCCTCTGCCGCTGCCCTTCCTAACCACTGCCTTCTGTGGCTTCCAGGTCCCAGTACAGGCAGTTCTGTCCTGCTCTGTCACCGCATTGTCCCTCCTAGTCTCCCAAGCCCATGAAGCCTCCACCTCTCTAGCCATCTGCTTTCTCTTTTGCTCTAATTTCCCTGTCAGGTCTATCTCTCAGACTAAACTTCTCTGAGCCTAGAAACTGGGGGACTCTCCTTGCTCCTGGGGTGCTGGCTGCCCTGTCAGAGGCATCACCCACCCAGGCCAAGGAGACTAGGCTGGTAGCCCGCCCGCTGCTTGGCCATGCTTTCCTCCCTCAGCATCAGACCTCCACCTGTCTGAGCTTCATGTTCTCCCCCTCATAGAGGCCCTGGTCTCAGGCTACTGTATGTCTCATGAGCTTTCCCATCTGAATTGCCCTAAAGTCCAAATCTCTTCTAAACTGAACTCTGCCTTCTTCAGCCAGGCAGCTGATCCCTCCCAGCTCACCAGAAAGAATGGAGGCACTGCAAAGAGGACAGCACCATCACCCACTGAGCCAGTGGCCCTGAGGAGAACGTCACTACCATAGATGACTTGCCAGCCAATGAGAGGCCAAGGAGTGGTCAGTATCCTTGTGGGGTAGCAGGGCATGAACCTGCATGAGAAGCTGCTCTTTCACATGCATCCCACAGACCTGGGGCACTGAAGCTGCCACCTTGTTCGTCCAGAGCAAGGAGCACAGGTTGTCACTGACCTTTGCACCCAGGTCTGAGCTCTGGGTGAATGTTAATAGCCACTGGCTGTCAGGAGAGCAGAGGAGACTTGGGGGGTTGCCTGGAAACAGGCTTGCTCTGGAGAGCAGCTGCAACTCGGGCAGGGTCAGCATGTACAATGTCCCATCAGCACAGGCAGCCTGCAATGGAAAGGTCTAGAAGTGAGCAGGCCAAAGACAACAGCATCTGGGGTTTCACTAAGGAGGGTGGCTACCTTTAGCTGTCTCACTGTGGTACACATATCAGCGATGTTTTATTTTGTTTGATTTGGAGTCACACCTGGTGATGCTCAGGGATTATTCCTAACAGGACTCAGGGGACAATATGGAATGGGGGAACAAACCAGGGTCAGCTGTGTGCCAGGTAAGAGCCTTGCTTGTTGTGCTCTGACATTCACACCAGTTATTTCATTAAAAAATATATTTTGGGGGGAGTGGGAGGGAGTCATACCTGGCATTGCTTATGATTTTCTCCTGACTATGCTCAAAGATCACTCCTGGTGATATCTGGGGCTTCATGAGTTTTCGGGAATCAAAGCAGGTAGGCTGCATGCAAGGCAAGTGCATTACCCACAATACTATCTATCTCTCCAGGCCAATGCCAGCTATTTTAAAGTCATTTCTTAAAACAGTCTCCAGAGATGCAGGCACAAATGAATATATTTGTACATGTGGTCATAAAACTCAATAGACTAAAATATCCCTACTGTCTACTTCATTAGCATCATTTCTGAAGCTGCACCCCAGACACCCCAGGAGAGGAAACTGGAAGACATCCTTCTGTAAAGACAAAAACACCAAGTGGCTACTACTGTATTGGAAAGTCAATCCTGAATGATGAGAAACAAGAAGACAACTGGGGGAGGGGGAAGAGACAGAGGGGGAAGTGAGAGAGAGAGAGAGAGAGAGAAAGAGAGAGAGAGAGAGAGAGAAAGCACTTGCCATAGAGGCAGCCTGGGGGGGGGGGGGCGGGCAGGGAGAAAACACTGTATGACTAAAACCTGATCATGAACAGCTTTGTAATGGGCTATCTCATGGTGACTCAACAACAACAAAAATTTTTAAGTAAATAATAGGTATGTGTTAATAGAGAAAAAAAAGGAGACAGCTGGATGTCTAAGGGTGAGGGAAAAGTCTCACTGGAGAAATAACTACTTGCCTAAAAATTCAAGAGAATTCATAATAAAATAATCATTAATATTAAATAAGAAACAAAAATTAAAAAATAAATCATTAACAGAAAATAAGTAAAACAATTTACTAAGATGAGAGGTTATAAAATGAATACCCTCACCCATGGATAGAAACAGGATAACAGATAATCAGAAAACAGCACCACAGAAAATGTCTTTCTGTGGGACTAGAAGAACAACAAAAAGTAAAATGCTTTGAAAAAAATTTTAATTGTAAGACATGTACAAAATGCATCTGAGGACAACTTTCGAGTCCTTCTGAAAGACATAAAAGTCACCTTGAGTCAGTGAAAGCACACCATTCATTCAAGGACCCTATGCCAATATTATAGTGTACCTGATCCCAAGGAAGGTATCATTTTCTTTCACAGAGAAATAAAAGTTGATTCTAAGATTCATATGGAAAAAATAACACATGAGAATACATGAGAAACCCTTGGGAAAAGAAGGTACAGTGGGGAAAAGACAACTTCAACTCACTATCATTTGTCTGCCCCTGGTCAAATGCTCCCGGCGCCTACAATAATGCTGAGACCAAATGTCCAGGCAACAGAAGACACGAGTTGACTCACAGCTGCCTGCAGTGATCAAAGATACCTTTGTTTTCCTGAGTAGGCCCTTGAAAGGACTTAAAAAATGAAAAAGGGTAAGAATACAGGAGTGAAAAGAAATCACAGGGAGAAAAAGTAGTGAACAGAGGGCAAGAGAAAGGAGAGACGGAGCATATGGGAGTCACAGGGTTAGGGCTCATGAGAAAATCCTTCAGAAACAGGCAGTCCATGTCTGAGGAGGAGACTGGTGATGCCACTCACTCAGCCTCACTGGGATCTGCAGAGATGGCTCCCAACATCATGCCAATATTATAGTGTACCTGATCCCAAGGAAGGTATCACCTCCCTGCCACGTGCCAGGGTCAACATGATCTGGAAGGCTCACACCCATCCGGACCCTGGAGCCGGCTTCCTCACCAGCACAAAGGGGCCTTCAGGCTGGTGACAGGCTTCCAAGGCAGACGAGGAGGCAGGCAGGGAGAAGGAGGCGCACTCCCAGCCATCTTCCACTTTCCACACTTTGATCAGTCCCTGCTCGTCCACGGTGACCACCACTTGCAGCCGAGGAAAGGTCACCAAGTTCACCAGAGCTGCAGGCTGTTGCGGGCTGGACCAGATCTCCACCGCCTGGAGAGCAACCAAACGAACACTGGAACCCAGAGAGGAGCTGTGTGTCTCGCAACCACCCGCACAGATTGGGAAGCTGCAACACTGCGCTCATAGTATCCATGGCAGGAGACACAGCATAGAAGTGGGGATCAGGGCCAGGCCAGGTGGGGATGTGAGGGTGGCTGGTGGCAGCACCACCCAGAGGCAAAAGGCACAGCCGAGTAGCAAGGTCCGTTCCCAGGTCAGGGAGGAGGACTGGGCAAGGGCAGAAAGCAGCACTATGCAGGAGACCAGGAGCCTGGATATTTGGTGCCAGAGTCTGCACCCTACTTGGGGGTTCCCCCCATCATTGGTACCCTACACTCATGTGAAAGAACTGTCACTTCGGGCAGACCCGAGCAACAGCAAGGAGATCCATCACCCCACTAAAAACATCTCTGTCATGAAGGAACATCCTCACAGTGTCTCTGCTTGGGAAGATACTGGGGAATGTCAAGTTAGGATCCAGGCAGAGGTACCCTCTCTCACTGAGGCTGGGTTCCACCTACAGGTCACCTGAGACAGCAGCTAGGGGCAATGTGCCTCAAGACCCAGGCAACCTCCCCCCTGCCCTCTCTACTGTTTTCTAATAAATGAGGGTGACAGTAATGGTAGCCACTGCTCGGCTGCTGAGCAGACTGGAGTAGAAAATGGACAGGGAAGCTTTTTAACCATAACCATCAAGCAAGGTCAAATACTAATCATGTCACCGAGGTTTCTCGGCTTGGTTTTGGAGTTACACCCAGCAGTGCTCAGGGATTACTCCTGGCTCTGTGCTCAGGGAACCATATTAGGTCCTGAGGATCTAATTTGGGTCAGCAGCGTGCAAGGCAAACACACTACCCACTGTACTGTCACTCTGGCCCCAAGTCACTGAGGTTTAACATGAACTGTGTAACGATCTAGGCAAACCCACCCACAGTGCCCGCATCAGCAGCTGCGGTCACAGACAGGCCACTATCAAGACCCCTGTCTCCCTGACACAGCACCTGCTGGCAGATGTGGTGGATAACCCCCCCAGTTTCCCATCTGTGCTGGGAGCTCTTTTGCGTCATCTTGCAGGTGACGTGCGACCATTAAATCATGAGGTGAAAGGAGGACTTCACTGGGACCAAAGCCATGGTATGTGGCCAGTGCCTACCCGCCCCCCACTTACCTCCTGCAGATCCCATGCACGCACAGTGTGGTCCGAAGACACAGTGCACACCACAGACTTCTCCTGCCCATCACACCGGTATTCGCTGGTTGAGATGTAAGCCAGCTTGCAGATCAGCCCTGGAAAAGCAGACTGGCATTGAACTGGGAAAAGGTAGGCCTAGAAATCACTCTCCGTTCTTGCTCAGGAGCACCACAGGTATTCTTGAGGGGACAGCAAGGCTGCAGAATGGTGACACGACTTTTATGCCTCCCTCTTCCTGTCCCCCACCGCTGACTTAACATCAACAACCTCCTCCACACCATGCATGCATTCCTATAGCTGCTGTTTCTTTCTACTGAAAGAAACATGAAGACCCCTTCTTCCCCAAGTGACAGAATCATCCCGGCAGGGGGATGATTCCAACTCGTCAGCTGGAATGCCACATCCAGCAGTGTGAAGCAGGTGTGTCCAACAGGAGAACAAGGCCCCCTGTACCTTTGTGTCCAGTGATGGCTCTGCAGGTGAAATCCTTCTCTGGCCGCCCCGACTCCATTCGAAACTCCAGCTCCGATCGGCAGAGATAATACTGTCTCCATGAATGTGGAGACATCTGGGAAGTTCGACAGGAGGGCCAGCGTCTCAGACACAGCTGCCTGAAAAACAGCAACTCCATCCCATGCCGACCAGGGTTCCATCTCCGGCACTCCAGAGGGTTTCCTGAGCCCCACCAAAAAGTGAACCCTGAGCACAAAGCCAGGAGTGAGTCCTGAGCTCAGCCTGGTATGGCTTCCCCCACAAAAGAAAAACCAAACAAAAAGCTGACTGAAGAGATTAAAACTTTGTTCTTCTAACTGGTAGCATTAATGATAAAAAAAATAATAATAATTTTAAAAATGATTGAATTTCAGGGGCTGGAGCGATAACACAGCAGGTAGGGTGTTTGCCTTGCACACGGCTGACCCTGGTTCGATTCTCAGCATCCCATATGGTCCCCTGAGCACCGCCAGGAGTGATTCCTAAGTGCATGAGCCAGGAGTAACCCCTGTGCATCGCCGGGTGTGACCCAAAAGGAAAAAAAAATTGAATTTCAGAATTCTCAAACATCCCAAAAATAAAAAATAAAACCAAGGAGCTAGAGAGCAAGTGTAGCGGGGATGGCACTTGCCTTGCACACAGTTGACTGAAGTTTGATCCCCTGCATTACCAGTAGTCCCCTGAAGGGCCGGGGGGACAGTACAGCAGGTAGGGTATTTGCCTTGCATGTGGCTGACCTGGGTTCAATCCCTGGCATCCCATATGGTTCTCTGAGCACTGACAGGAGTGATTCCTATGTGCAGAGCCAGGAGTAAATACTGAGCACTTCTGGGTGTGAACCATCCCTCCCCAATAAATAAGGAACAACCAAGCAAAGATTTGACTCATGTTTGTAAGAATCTTTATTGTGTGAATAGCAGCTAATGACTAAAACTAAATATAGTTCCTACTGGACAAAGACAAGGCCACAATTTGTCCTGTATTAAGCAAGAGAAGATCTTGGGACAAAAGGAAAAGGTGTCATGTTTCAAAGGAGGAATGAAGGGGAAGGAAACTTTAATAGCAAAATGATTTTTTAAATTTTCAATGTCAATGTCTTAATTTTTCAGTTCCAATATCATATACATTTTTATCAATAAGTGGGAACACCACAGTTGACTTAGAAGTAGTATGCTGATTTATTTCAATCACCCAGCTACATTCATTTGCTTTGAATACATTTCCACCCCTTACTTTGGAAACCCTACAATCAACCTCCCATCCAAGTTAATGAAATCTCTCATATTGAACACAACCAACCAGGGAAGGGTTTCCTACTAATATGGCCTGTGGATTGTCCCTAACTATATATTTAGCAAAATCAGCAATGCCAAAGAGTCAAAGGACTTACACCCTCTACCCATCTTTCCTTGCTGAGGGACTTACCTGACCAATTAGTTCTCCTTTCACTTACCTCCACAGTTCTGTGGTGCTTGTAACCTCATTCCAGAGCTGGCATAAAAAGGACACAAGGACAGGATCTGATCAGTAAACCCGCCAGAGTCAACAGACCAGAGCCAACAGACTAGCGTCAGGCTCACCCATCAAGAAAACACATCCTGGGCAGAAGAGGCATATTTGGACAATCAAATAAGAGCCAAATTATGAACGTGAAAGGAATAGGCTCAGAAATGATAAGCGACCAAGTGGCTGAGTAGTTCTTCTCTAAGAAAATAGCTCAAACATTCCAAGGAGAGAGGACCAATGGGCAAAGGTGTTTACGCACACCTAGTATGGAAAAGATGGCAACTTAACAATCATTTATTTAGAACCCAGAGCCGGACACTGGTTTCTATCAACTCTTGGCAGTTGGTAAGCCACTGGAGTTGGGAGTAATCAGTAGTAATGTAATGACAAATAAGAAACTATATGTAATGAGAATTATGAAACTAATGAGAACTAAGAAACTTAGTAATGAGAACTAAGAAAATGTACTGAGAACTGGGGAACTGAAACTGACTCCCTAGGCTAACAAGACAAGGGAGGAAATAGCTTTCCCTTTCACCACCTCAATCTACTGATTAAGGGCCCACTAGATTTAGGAGAGTGCACTGAGGCAGTGCATGAAGGCTGCACCGAACAGTGGGCTGACACACTGACACTGACTGTTTTCCTTTTGGGCACATGCATTGACTTCCTCGGTATCTCTGCTTCACTGAGAAGGATGTATGTAGACTGTAGCCCACTCTTAGAGAATAAAAGAGAGACTCTTTCAGCAAACAGGGCTCCAAAAAGTCTCTTTCAGAAGCATGCTGGAAGTAGACTATAGACAAAACATGATTGCCACCCATTGCCTCTTTTGCAAACCACAACACCCAATAGGAGAGAGAGAACAAAAGGGAATGCCCTGCCACAGAGATAGGGTGGGTTGGGGGGGGCCGGGGGGGGCGGGATACTGGGATCCATGGTGGTGGAAAATTGGCACTGGTGGAGGGCTGGGTATTCGATCATTGTATAACTGAAACCCAAGGACAAAAATTTGTAAGTCTACAACTGTACCTCATGGTGTCTCACTAATAAAAATTTTTAAAAAAAAAAAGGTCTCTTTCACTTTCTACCTGGACGCATCAGTGCTGAGCTTCTAATAAACTCACTATCTTATCCTGAGCTGTCTCTGTTCACTCGCGGTTCCCACTCGCACAACAGGGAGAGTGCTTGAGAATTTGGCATGGTTGATCAGGGGACAATGATTCAGGAAAATCCTGTAGCTGCTCTGTGGACTGTGGGGACAGAGCAACCGAACGACTGCTGGATGGAGTATGGCACTGAGGGAGGGTTTGCGCCAGAAAGGGCAGGAGGGCAGAAGGGGTGAACTGGGTGTCTTCCAGAGCGCCGCGCCCTGGCCTGCAGCAAGGGAACCGGCCGGACTCCAGATCTTCTGGGTGCCACCCTACCTTGGTAAGCTTGGGCTCCAGGATTACTTCCCTTATTGGCAAAAATGGGGCTGAGCACCGCTTCCCGAGGTATTTAAAAGTTTGACTACAGAACTCAAGGTTCAGCGTCATCTTTTTGTTGTTGATGAATGATATGATATGCCAAGGTCTTTTAAAAGCTAGACATTTTCTAACATACTTAGGGAGGGGGGCTCTGAACACCAAGACCACGTCTCGAAGTCTGCATGTGTGTGGTCAGGCAGAGGACAGACTCCCTGCTGCAGGGGCTGCAGGGCGGGGAGGGGCGCGCACGAGCCGAAGAACCGCAGGGTCCCCGCGCGCGCGCGCGCGGGTCGCTCGGGGCAGGTGCGCTCACCGGGACGCCGAGGGGAAAGGGGAGCCGCTGGGGTGTGGCTAACCCCGGGGCCAGCTGGCTCCTGCTCCAGGGGAAAGTCCAGAATATTCCAAAAGGGGCGGGGTGAGGGAGAGCGCAGCGTCAATAACCGAGGCATGCACCTAGTGTAAAGGCGCAGGAATGAGAGACTCACTAACCACAGTGGGGACGCTCAGGATGACCCCTCCCCAGGTCTGCAGGGCCACCGCCCCTGGCCAGCCCTTGGGAGCCGCTGGGCGCGCGGGAGAATCCGGAAACTGAGCCGGCAACCCTCCCGCTCCCGGCACTGGCCCAGCCTCGCCCCGAGCTACCTTGTCCACTTGGGCCGCGCGGAGCAGGTCGCGCGCTTCCAGGAAGGAGAAGACGTGCAGCAGCTCGTGCGGGCCCAGCCGCGGCTCCATCGCTCCGGGCAGCGCCGGGGCCACCGCGCTTCCGCCCCGCCAGTCCCCGCCCAGCCCCGGCTTTCTCCTCCCTAGGCCGAGTTCCCACCGCGCCCTGCAACGCCCGTCCGCGCCTCTGACTTGCCCGGCCTCCCCTCCCGCGCAGACCTTCACCCGGCCCCTAAAATGGACATTCACCCTCTCCCTGCCCCTCGCGCTAGACTGACCACGGGGTCGCTGTGCACTCACGCCGCACAGCCCACCCTGGGGTTGGTGCGGAATGGGCTCTCTTTTTTTGTTTCGTTTTGGAGGGCACACCAGGCAGTGCTCCAGGGTTACTCCTGGCGGTGCTCGAAACGACCATCTGGGATGCCAGGGATGAAACCTGGGTCCGCTTGTGCAAGCAAGCATCCTACGCGCTGTACTTTCTCTCCCCGGCCTCCCACATGGACCCCTCATTCACCGGCTACTGGCCAGGTCTTCACCTCAGGTACTCCTTCAGTTGATCACCCTCCAATGTCCTAACTACTCCCATCTTCCCCTAGCCTCCTCAGCCTAATCCTTCCTTGGGCCTGTGCATCCCCCTCACCCTGAACTTCACCCAGGCCTGACCCTCATCTTCTCAACTGCTTCCGCAGTGGCCCTCAGTCTCCTCCTCAGCCCTTGTCCAATCCCGATGCTTCTCTGCTGAGGTGCCTGCTCTCTGCTGACACCCTCCCGCGGCCTTCCCCAGACACTGGCCTTCACTCAGGACCTCCTATTTCTGCCCACTGCCAAACAGTTGAAGAGTGGGGCTGGGGGTGGGGTGGGAGTGGGAATAACCAAAGGGAAGTCAGCAGGGTTGAGTGAAAATCAGTGTGAGAACACTGGCATCAGATTGTCTAAGCTGGTTTCTGGATCAGGGTGAGCATGAAGACCAAGACTGCTTGAAGTCACTGTCCTCCTGTTGTTCATCAGTTTGCTCTAGCAGACACCAGAAACGGCTCCATTGTGAGACTTGTTGTCAAATATCGAATACACCACGGGGAGCTTGGCAGGAATCGAACTTGGGTCAGCCACGTGCAAGGCAAACACCCTACCCTCTATGTCAGGGTGGGTTTATTTGACTGCTGCTGGAATTATTAGGTATTATTACTATTTGATTGCTGCTGGGATTATCACCTACATAATCTAGGATACACTTTTCAACATAACTCGTACCACACTTGCAAAGTGACATACTCCATTTGTAACATGAACAATTTTGAGGGTCCATTTTTCCATTTACCACCAGGAGTCAAAGTTAAGCTTATGAGCAAGCTCAGGTTCAAGGTTATATACAATAGATCAAGCTAGCTACTGGTCAATGTGAATGTGAGAGTCTATTTCCATGTACGTTTCCCTGTCAGGTTCCAGACAAAGCTTAAGGTGTGCTGGGATTAAGGTCAGTCAGTAGTGACAGCCCAGTGAACGGAGTCAGTGTCAGAGCAAGGATGAATAGGTCATGGTCAGGGTCACTATTATTTGAGGGTCACAGGAAAGGACAAGGTATTGGGTTCAATAACAAATTGACATAAGAACAAAAATAATTCAAGGTGGTAAGGTGATGTGATATTGAGACCTGGCTCAAGGTACCGACTAATTCATTTTTTTGGTATTAACTTCAAGGTCAAGGTTTAGACTCGGCCAAGGGGTTCTAAGGGTGAGGAGGGCCAGGATTTCGTTGAAAGTAGAGATCACTCATCATTCACCACTGATCAGCAAGATGTCACGGTCAAGGATGTTAAGGTAATGTTCAAAATCAGGATGAGTAGGACAGTCACACTGTAGGACAGTCAAAGATCAGGGTCAAAGTTATGGGAAGTGCAAACTGTCTAAGTGAAGGTGAGAGCCAAGTTTATGAATGAGCTTAAATTATAGATCACGTGAGATCCAAGTTTCAGAAAGAGTCAGGGTCGATGCCAAAACAAGGTCAGACATGGGTTGGTAAGGGTTTTGCAAATAATTGCATCACGGTCCTCCCGTTGTTCATCTATTTCCTTGAGCGCGCCCAGTAACATCTCCATCATAAGGCTTGTTGTTACTGTGTTTGGCATATCGAATACGTCACGGGTAGCTTGCCAGGCTCTGCCGTGTGGGCAAGATACTCTCGGTAGCTTGCCAGGCTCTCCGAGAGGGGCGGAGAAATCAAACTCGGGTCAGCCATGTTGGCCACTTGTAAGGCAAATGCCCTACTGCTGTGCTATCGCTCCAGCTTCAAAATAATTGCGTGCACATACAACAAAAGCATCAAATTGAGGTTCCAGATCATAGTTCTGTTTAGAGCAAAAACTGGATTGAATATTGAATTTAGGCTGGGTGCAAAGCTCAAAGTGAGGGTTGGGCTTGATATAAAAGTTTACATGTTTCAGGTTTAGGGTTTTATGCAAGTGGGGTTGCCTGAGGGTCAGTACTGGGTCAGAGTATGGGTACAGACTCACAATGAGTTATTTTTGTCAGAATGCAGATTAGGACATATAGATGAACAAGTCCTAAAACATCTTTTAAACATGAAATACAGATAAAGAGATAGTGCTTGTCTTGCATGCGTCAGACCTGGGCTTGATCTCTGGCTCCACATATGGTTCCAAGCCCAACCAGGATGACCTCTGAGCAGATCCAGGAGCACAGTGTGGCCTATAAACAAAAAAAAAAAGAAAGAAAGAAAGAAAGAAAGAAAGAAAGAAAGAAAGAAAAGAAAGAAAAGAAACATGGCCAGAAAACTAGTACAGTGGCCAGACAATTTTCCAGCACATGACCACTGTGGGTTTGAACCCTGGCATCCCATATGGCCTCTGAGCACAGAGCCAGGAGTGATTCCTGGCCCAGCTAAATGTGCAAACCACCCCCCTCCCACCGGTCCCCAGCCCCCTCTCCCCCCCCCCCCCCCCCCGCAAAAGCAGAAACAAAAACAAAACACAAATGGACGGAACAAGCTTCTGAAAAAAACAACTGGAGTTTATTTTGAGTTCCCTCTACAAGCACTAAGGACACTGCCTGCACTGTCGTCTCCTGCATCCTCAGAGCTTACAGACCTTTATCTGTGAGGAACAAATTGCACTGTAGCACTGTCCTCCGTTGTTCACTGATTTGCTCGAGCGGGCCCAGAACAAATTGTATCTTGATAAAAATAAGTCTTAACTAAAGTCTTAGTTAAGACAGCCTGTCTCTTGTCTATCCCTGAGCCAATCCCACTGTCTCTAGTTTCCCAGTGTCCGGTGGGGAGAGCTGCTCTGCTCCAGCCTGTCTCCCAGTCTCAAGCGGGCCTGAGAGTCCATTCAACAAGTCATCAGGACAGGAGCTGACTGGGCCTGTTCTGTGGTAGACTGACTTCACAATGAAGCTTCAGGCATGCCTGCCCCCTTACTTGCTGGGGAACTTCTGTGAGCACGGGCACAGCTAATCCGAGAGCGTATGGTGGGGGCAGATGTCGGTCAGGATCCCTGACAGGGGCCTTACCAGTCCTCGGTTTCTTCCTGCCACCTAACTTCCAAAGGCAGCTCCATGCCAGGCAGCAGCCCGCACCAAAGCAGCTGGGAACAGACCGGGTCAGGACCAGGACCCTGGGCAGAACTGCTGATGGGTTTATGTCCTCAAAGCCTGTCTTGCCATTTGCACTGCTGCTAAGGCGAGGCCTCCACTCTATTCTGCTGGCTCTCCGAGCAGGAAGACAGGGCCAGAGAACCAGATTCTCCCCACTTCACCAAGCCCGGGTGGCTACAGGCAGCTATATGCACTCTCCGATGGACGTCGGCGGCCCAGGCTGTGAGCGTGCTGCTTGTCGGGGCGGGCACAGGTACTGAGGAAGCGAGCGCGGCAGGGAAGAGGCCAGGGGGGACCCAGCCAGGCAGAGCAGAGGACGCGGCCTAGGGGTCCTGGAGGTATCTTGGGGGCCCTAGTGTATGGACCACTGCTCAGCCTTGTGGGATAAAAGGTCGGATGAGCTCCGGGTTCAAGAGCGAGTCCTCCAGCGGCCGGTCCATGTGGAAATCATGGACATGGGGTGCGCCTGGATGGGCCTTGGAGGCGGGTGCCCCAGGGCGCTGGGGGATGGGCAGCTCCGAGGGGTGGGCGGGCAGGGGGGCTGTGAAGAAGTACTGGTGCAGGAGGGCCTGGAGGACAGAACAGAGACCAGATGAGAACTCACTCCCTGTCCCAGAGCAGCTCTCGACCCTCCATGGGGCCCAGGCCCTGGTCTCGGGGCTCCGTCCTGCGACTGCTCCTCCACCCGCCAACCAGCACCTCCTGGGCTGCTCAGAGCCAAGAAGAGTAATGGCCGGGCTCCACAGAGCTCCTGGCCGGTGCGGGAGGAAAGGGCAGGGCACAGAAAATACAAAAATAAGGAGGTGACACAGGCCAACACTGGCCTGAAGGACAGCGGGGATGTTGCTGGGAACTGACACTCCAGAGAGCTGCAAAGTCACAGAGCGACAGGCGCCGAGGAAGAGCCTCCTGGCCCAAGCAGAGAAGGGCACAGACCCCAGGACACAGAGGGACACGGGGCTACAGGGGAGCAAGAGGACAGGTGGGGGGAAGGGGGTCCAAGGCGACAGCCTGACAGAGGGGCTTCTCCTGAGAGGGAAGCAGGGGTGAGGCCTGGGAAGAAGCTGCCTTCTGTGGGGTGGCGGGGACACTGCTGGTAGACTCTGGGGACAGTGGAGGGACCGGGCTGCACAATCACAGGCTGTCAGTGCTGAGGGCAGGGAGTGAGGCTGTTCGAGTGTATGGACCAGAGGCCTTGGTGATCTCCCCAGAGATGCCCCCCTGCTGCCTCCCGCCCCATCAAGGCCCCATCCCTGAGCCTGCTCCTCCCTGATGTCACCCAAGCACCCGAGCAGACACACACCGTGGCAGGAAGACTACCGAGGCCCCACGTCGTCGGTCTCCACCTCTCCCCCACACACATCCTGACCCTGGTCTCGGCACAGGGTGTGGACCTCTGAGAGGGGGAATCAGGCCACCTCTGTGCACTCCGGGCAAGAGGCGGCGCTGGCCGGCTGCAGAGCGAGACAAGTGGCATGGGAAGACAGAAGAGCTCAGCACGCCACGTCCTGCAACCCCTCTCCGCCCCGCTTCTGGCCCTCCTGCCCGGTTCTGTTCGCTGGAGACATACACCTGCTGTGTGACCCTCTTCGCCCTGGCTTTGAGGGACGTCCGTCAGACCCGGGGATGCGGGTGCAGACTGGTCCGACTCACCTGGGAGGCAGGGATGCGCCGGTGCGGCGGGTAGAGGAGGAAGTGCCCCAGCAGGTCCAGGGCCTGTGGCGAGGCGTCGGGCAGCACCTCCTGCAGGGGCAGGGCTGCCCGCTCCTTGAAGGAAATCTTGTTGTAGTCGGGCAGCTCCGTGATCTCCTGAGAAACAGGGCACATCCGTGACCCGGATTCGGCCACTGGCTCGCCCTGCCCCACCCCGTGACTGTCTCACACCCATTGTCTAGGTGCCCCTGAGCTCCCTGGGTCCCCGGAGCCTCTGGGCGCCAGCTCCAAGCTAAGCGTCAGGAGAACCCTCCGAGAGTGTCACGGCAGTGTGAAGGGGCAGGGACAGGACTGGTCCTCCCGCCTCAGTCTCCTAACTGAGCTAAGACACCAACCACGGCATCAGAGATGGGTGAAACAGGAGGAGGGGCAGAGGTGGAACCCCTGGAGGGGTTTCAGTATCTGCCTCGCTCGCCACAGAGGCTAAGGAGCTCTCTGTGCCACATGCGGTGACCTCCAAGCAGCGGGAGCACCCGTCCTTCTCGCACTGCTCCTGACTCCGGAAATAAAGCTCCCCGATTAACCAAAAAAAAAAAGAGAGTTGTTGGGAGGACCTTCCCACCCCTTCTCCATGGGGCCCCCACTAACCGGCCAGATTTGAGGATTGGGGGTGCCCAGGACGCGCAGCACACAGCAAAGCTGTTCGATGTCATTCTCCCCAGGAAACAGGGGTGATCCATTCAACAGCTCCCCCAGGATGCACCCCACGGCCCTGCAACACAAGGCAGCAGCTCAGGACCTCACAGCCGCACTGTCCCTTATGCCAGCTTCCCCACCTCACACCACAGACACACACTCTGTCAGCTCTGTCACCTCCCTTAAGGGCCCACACTCCCCACCTGATCCGTCACCCCCCCCAGTGAACACCCCCCCCACACCTGGTCCATCACCCCCTCATGGACACACACTCCCCGCACCTGGTCCATCACCCCCTCATGGACACACACTCCCCCCAGGGGATCCATCACCTCCCTCGTGGACACACACTCTCCACCACTCACAAGAGACACACAATGGGTGAAGGTCCCCTTAAAGCAGCTTAGACACTGTACAGCCAAGCATAGCCAAGGACTCAGAGCCCCAAACAGTCAGACTTAAGCTCAGAACACAGCCTGTCCACCTCGGGGCAGCCTCTGGCTGGGAACAGTTCTGAGTCTTCTCAGAGCCTCACACCACACAGACAGTCAATCCTGACCGGGCCCAACCATGGGCATGGAAGAACAGAGAGCTCACACTGCCCAGAGAGCCCAGTGCCCAAGGCAACCCAGAGCACACACACCCTCTCCAAACACTAATGGACTCCGTATCCATAACCCTCCGTCCTGCCCACCAGGACTCTCACCACAAGTCAACACCCTGGTCGTACTGGCGGGCACCATACAGCAATTCAGGGGCTCGGTACCACCTGTAAGGAAGGCAAACGGTTACAGCCGAGCTACGGGCCTGACAGACAGCTGCCCTAGAGGCCACTCCATTCCCTGCCACCCCCAGCAATAAAGTCTGTCCAGAACATCTCTTCCCAGAGAGCAGGTTGTGGTCTGTCCACCGTCATGCACTGCTGGGCACCAGCTCAACCCTACCTGGTGGCCACTTGGTGCGTGTATAGGCGGCTGCCATCAGGGGAAAAGACTCGGGCCAGGCCAAAGTCTGCAATCTTGAGCTGGCCGGAGGCGCTGATGAGCAGGTTGGCTGGTTTCAGGTCCTAAGGGCACCAAAGCGGGTATCAGTTCCACTGGGACACCAGGGGTTTCCAAGGAAAGAACTTGGCGGATGAGCCTGGAGAAACCCAGTATTACACCCCCGACCAACTATTTTGTCCCCTCTGCCTGTGCTTTCGTCAATGGCGCTCTACTCCTGCCCTTCAGGACCCCACCGCCCTCGACCGGGGCTGGCCTCTGAACTCACCCGATGCACAATGTTGTTGGCATGGCAGAAGGCGATGCCCTTGAGCAGCATCTGTAGGTAGCTCTTGACCTGAGCTTGGGCCAGTGGCCGCTGTGCATGTCGCACCACCTCGGCCAGATCCGAGAGCATGAATTCAAAGGCCAGGACAAAGCCTGCACCATGTGGGAACACGGCCTTCAGCTGCACCACCTGAGGGCGAGTCATCCCATCAGATTCACAGTGACCAGAGACCTCTCAGCCCCAGCCCGGGGCCACACGGAGGTTGGATGTGGGAGGAAGTGACAGGATCTGGGCAGGGAAGCAGGGAGCTATGAGCACCCTGCTCTCCTGGGACGCCTCCACTGGGGAACTGTGGCTCCCACTCATCCACTAGAGATCCATACACGAGAAATACACAAGATGCACATACACACATGTGCACGCACACACACACACATACACACACCACTTCCCCCAGGACCATAAAATGCAGCACTGAGAGAGCCACCCCAAGCTGAAGACACAGTCATACTCCTCCTCAAGAGCCGCTGTACACGGCGGCGGGGAGCAGGGCCCAGGCTCTAAGCTGCTCTGGGCAGGAAGAACAGACCACTAACAAACGAGTACATAAACAGACGGTAATCCAGGTCCAGGTCCTGGTGAGGACAGATGAGAACAGGTGAGGTGGGGCTGGTTACAAAAATCCCTTAGTCAGGAAAAGGAAGGTAGAAACTGGGCAACTCAAGACTTGTGGGGCCCTTTAGGAGGAGACATGTCTCTGTTCTGCCCAATGATCCTCACACCAAGAGGGTTGCAGACTAAGGGGGTGTGTTCACGGGACTGGGGGAATGAGTGAGGGACAGCAGTAACGGGCTCTCAGCTTAAAGACAAGGTGCCAGGTGAACAGGGTCCCTGGCATTTCCTGAGGGTAAAGGGGGACAGTGGGGAAGCAGCTGCAAATCTTCCCCCATTCTGGCAAGTGGTCACTGTGGACTGTGGCCTGGGCGGGGGTAAAATCTGGAGTTTTAAAAGCAGAAACTTCCAGATACTGACCCACAAGGCCCAGGCCCCATCACCACCTTCTCCTGGGTCTTTCCACACTTTGACTTTGCTGGTGAAACAAGAACGCCCTTAATGTTTTTCTCATTCTGTTGTTGTTTTGCTGAGTTGTGGAAAGGATCACTTCACAAATCGAAACACACGGACATATTCGTCCAGGTAACATGCACAACTACTAAAAGAAAAAAAAAAAAAAGAAACCAAGGAGATCCTAGCTACGGTGGATTGAAGCGGATGCTCTACCAGACATGCCAAAAACAGGCACAACTGATATACATCATAGCTCTATTGTTACACAAAGTCTGAAGACATATGCAATTTTGCAACACTTGTCACTATGTCACTAGACAATAGACCTCTATAATGATTAGGAGCGAGTAAGAGCATCTTAGGAACCATTACTCCCATGCATGAGAGCAGATGAAGAGACGTGCCTGAGCGTGTGAAATGTCCCTCCTCCCATGCTCAATCTCCAGTCCACTCACAGCAGGGCCTGGCCACTGAACCCCTCTTCTGTCTCTCTGCCTGACCTGGTTGGCCTGTGGCCAAAATAGAGAACTACCAGAGACCCCAAGATTGAACCTATGCAGATTTCTCAATCAAAAAGGAACCCCAAAACCATCTGTAAAATGGTTAACCCAGCCTAAGAATACAAAAGCTCAGTTATCATTATCAGCGGAAATTACTAAGTGTGTTGAGGCCAGAGAGCTAGTACAGCGGGTAGAGGGCCTGCCGCAGTGCCAGCTCAGATTTGGTCCTGGGACCCTCTTTGGTACCTCAAGACCACCAGGAGCCATCCCTAAGCCAGAGTCAGGAGTAAGCCCCGAGCACTGCTCGATGTGGTCCAAAACCCAACAAGAAAGCAACAACCAAAAGAAATTTCTAAGTGTATTGACAGTGTAGTGAACGAATGAATGGGTGGGTGGCTGGATGGATGAGAGGATGGCTGTCTGGAGTACACAGTACCCTTTAGGAATGAGGCATAAAGTATGGACAAGTGAACACAAAGGAGAGGGCCTTGGGAGGAGGTTGGAGGGGAACAGGAGCGAGAGTGAAGAGGGGGATGGGGGTGGGGAGACGCGGAGGACGAGCCCCACCTGACCCACTCACATACTGGTTGTCCTCGATCTCCTGCAGAGCCTTGATCTCCCGCAGCGCCTGGTTGGGGATACCATCCTCCAGCCTCCGCAGGGCCACCTTCTTGAGGGCCACGATCTCTCCGGTCTGCGGGGCGGCGCGGAGACATGGCCACCAGCTCTCGAGGAGGGGGCCAGGGCCCGCGCCGCGAGACCGCGCCCACCCTCGAGGGCGGAAAGACCCGGCCCCCGGGGAGCTCGCGCCGTGGGTGCAATGTGCCCGACAGAGGCGCAGGGCACCCTGCCGGAGCCGGGCAGGGGTCAGCACCCGGTGAATCAGGCCGCCGGGAAGGGGGCGGACCTCAGGCCCCTCCCCACAGCGCCGAAGCCCCGGGCCCCGCAGACTGATCTTGCTCCCGGCGCCCCGGGCCCCGCAAGCCTCACCTCGACGTGCTTGGCCTTGAAGACGATGCCGTGCGCGCCCTCCCCGATGCGGCCCAGGATGCAGTACTGGTCCATGGCGCCCGCCCCGCGCGCTCCGCCCCCGGCGCCTAGCAACGAGCGGGCACGGCGCAACGGTGCCGGGCGGCGGGCCTGCGGTGGAGCCTGCCCGGGGCCCCGCCGCTAGCGTCTCACCCGCTCGCGAACGTCGCCAAGCAGCAGAGGCAGCGCCAAGCCCCGGACACGCAGGACCAGCCTCCGCGGAGCCGCGTCGCTTCCGGGGCGACTCACGTGACGAGTGACGTCAGCGAGCGTCGGGGGCGGGGTCTGCGTCCGGGGCGGAGCCTTCTGGCAGCCGGAGGGAGGTGGGCGGGGCCTCAGACTGTGGCGAGAGGCGCCCCGCAGCGAGAGGGCGGGGCCTATAGGGGGCGGGGCCTCTGGATGGGGCGGGGCCTCGAGGTGGCCGGACCACAGGCAGGTTTTTCCCCCCGGGGAGATGTGGAGGTCTGGGGCGGTTTAGAGGGAAGATCAGTGGGTTCTCTCTCTCCGGAAGGTGAACCGGCCGACATGTAGGATATCTTTTTAAAAACGGAAACTCTGACCAAAACGACTGTGTTCTTTGGGAATTCCGAGGAGACATTTGAAGACTTCTAAGGCATCTCACAGTTGCGGAACGTTCATAGTAGCTCTTAAGCTTCTGCAAAGATGCTCTTCGAGTATGAAAGGACGAATGCAAAGAAGCTATACTATTACACCCGAAGGTGCCAGATCTAACAGTTCATTGGTCAGATTGTGAAAGTACAAATTTTATACCTTGCTGGTGGGCGTGAAATTTGGTGGTGATGATCAAACTACATTTGCCTATGTTCATGTTCATGTCTAGAAATTCCCCCATCCATTTGTTTGCACACAGGTGAAGTGACATGTGCAAAGTTATTCACCGAAGTATTGTTTGAATAAAGATTGGAATCACTGCAGATGACCATCAATAAGAAAATGACTCAATTGTGTGTGTCTTCAAATAGAGCATTATGTGACCTTAAAAATGAGCAAAAACAATAATGCAAATGGCTCAGTCAGCACCAGCTGGCACAGTAAATCAGACAGTGACTCTAGTAACACCATTTTGAGATATAACAAATTTCACAATTGACTTTTATCTATTTTCAGATAATTCCATTTTGTTGTAATAAGCAATATAAAATAAATTTGTGCCTGCTAAGGGGACAGGCTTGTGGGAGAGGAAGTGAGAAACTGGGAACATTGATGGAGGGAAGGTCACATTGATGGTGGGATTTGTGTTGGAACATTGAATGCTTGAAACAACTATTGTAAACAACTTTGTAAATCGTGGTGTTTAAGTAAAACATACAAGCTTTGCAGGGATAGTTGTTTTTGTTTTGTGGCCACATTGGCTATTAATCCTGGCTCTGCACTCAGCTTTCACTCCTGTTGGGCTCAGGGGACCAGATGTGCTGCTGGGGATCAAACCCAGGTCAAGCTGTAGGCAAGGCAAATGCCTTAGGTGCTATACTATTGCTCTGGCCCCTATATGCTTTCTTATTGCTGAGAAAAAGAATTACGCCATTCTTCTCTTTGGAAACTCTAGAAACAAGAGCTTGGAATGAAATATTTAAAAGGGTGAAACAAAAAGTTGCCAGCCTAGAAGTCTAGATCCAGTAAGATAATCCTTTTAAATAAAGGAGAAATTATTACTTTTTTCTAACAAACACAATTAAAAGAAATTTATCATCTGGACACCCCCCATCCCACCCTGCCTCTGTGGCAGGGCATTCCCTTTTGTTCTCTCTCTCCTTTTGGGTGTTGTGGTCTGTCCTAAAAACAATGTTAAAAGATGTGTTTTGGGAATTGATAAAGCAGTATAGACCAGAAATTTAGAAATAGGGGCCAGAGGTGGTGTAAAACCTCAGTTAGCTAGAAATCAATTTAACAAAGGAAGAGATCTGTTTAAGTGAAAATTATAAATCACTTCTGAAAGAAATAAAAGAAGACGCAAGGAAATGGAAACATATTCCTTGTGGATAGAAAGAATCAACATCATTAAAGTGACCATCTTACTCAAAGTAACTTCCAGACCCAAAACAGTTCCCATCATAATTCCCATGACATTTTTTTTATTAGTGAAACACCATGAGGTACAGTGGTAGATTTACAATTTTTTGTGCTTGGGTTTCGATTATACAATGATCAAATACCCATCCCTCCACCAGTGCCCATTTTCCACCACCATGGATAATATCCCTCCCACCCCCATCCCCCCCATCCCACCCTGCCTCTGTGGCAGGGCATTCCCTTTTGTTCTCTCTCTCCTTTTGGGTGTCGTGGTCTGCAAAAGAGACATTGAGTGGCAAACATATTCAGTCCATAGTCTACTTTCAACATGCATCTCCCCTCCTGGGAGGATCCTCCAAACACCCTTTATTTGGTGCTCCCTTCTCTATCTGAGCTGCCGATGCCCATGGCATTTTTAAAAAACAAATAGGAGGAATGGTTAAAAATCTGTATGGAATCATAAAACTCCTGGGGAAAAAAACACCCAACAACAAAGCAATCCTAAGAAGAAAGAAGATAGGGAGGTAATTAGAGCCTCATATTTGAATCTTTACTACAAAGTTATTGTAATAAAAATAGCTGGGGACTGGAGAAATAGCACAGCGGGTAGGGTGTCTGCCTTGCATGCGACCAACCCGGGTTCGATTCCCAGCATCCCATATGGTCCCCTGAGCACTGCCAGGAGTAACTCCTGAGTGTAGAGCCAGGAGTAACCCATCACCAGGTGTGACCCAAAAAGCTAAAAAAAAAAAAAAATAGCTGGAAAAAATACAGACTCCTGGATCAATGGAATAGAACTGAGAGCCCAGGGATAAACCCTCAGGTGTATGGGCAGTTAATTTTTGACAAAGTGGCTATCTGCATGAAGTGGAACAAGGAGAGTCTCTTCAATAAATGGTGCTGAGAAACACTAGAGAGTCACATGCAAAATAATTTTTTAAATTTGACTCTATCTCACACTATACACAAAGGGTAATTCAAAAGGAGTGAAAAACCTTGATATCATACCAGTCTCTACAAAACAGTCCAGGCTCTCCAAGATCTTGACCTCATCACTGTAGCACTGCCCTCCTGTTATTCATCAATTTGCTTGAGTGGGCACCAGTAACGTCTCCATTGTGAGCCTTGTTACTGTTTTTTGGCATATCAAATAGGCCAGGGGGAACTTGCCAAGCTATTGTCTCAGTAGCTTGCCAGACTCTCCCTCCAAGAGGGAGGGAGGAATCAAACCCGGGTCTGCCACGTTCAAACGCCCTACCTGCTGTGCTATCGCTCCAGCCCTGCCTTGACCTCAGAGGATTCAATAATATGACCACAGTGGCAAAGAGATTTAAAGAAGAAGTAAACAAATGGCACTCCGGAAAACGAAAAGGCATATTCACTGCAAACAGAATGAGTCCTAAAATTAAAAGACTGGGACAAAGTATTCACATATCACAAAGGAAACTGGAAACATTTCTAATTCGGAATCAATCCAACTTGAAAACCTTTTAGGATTGAGCAACTATATTTTCTCCTGCAGGACAGATCAGGACAGTGGGGGTCTTTGTCTCAGTCTGCTTCCTGTAGAGCCAGAACCAGGGGTTCAGGCAGGGCACAGAAAGGGAGATCTCTGGGGGCTCCAGAAAAGGTCTCTGTATGCATTTGCCTTCTCAGCAGCTCACGATCACTCCCAATCCCTTCTCAACTCTGTTTTCAAGCTCACCTGTGTATGATATTTAAATTGCCAGGGAATGAATCTGATTCTTTTTCTGTGTTTATCTAAAACAGTCCCAAAAGGATGCCCTCAAGCATGTCTTCTGCAAGTTAATCCAGTCTAACACAAAGAGGAACCAGGTACTTAGTGTTTAAAAGGAAACATTTGATGGCCATTGAAACGTAACCCAAATCTGGCTCTGTTGTTAATTAATTAATTAGTTAATTGCTGAAAGGCAATGAGCCAGTCTAGAACTCTGCTCTCACTTCCTCTCCTGGTTCATGCTCCTCAGAGCAGTCCTGGACTCCCTGCCTTTTCTATTTACTGGATTTACAAATTACTATGAGCTGTGGAATCCCAAAAAAGCACTCTGGGACAGCATCGACCTAACCCTAACTCTCACATCACACTTCCTATGTGTACTCTTTGAGCTTATTTTGTTCGTGGGTGGAAAATTTTAGATATTCCCACCCTGTCCACACTTGTGATAAATGTCCCTGTTCTAACTAAGAAAAATACTGATTTTTGAAAACTCCCTATAGTCACACTGGTAAGACACCATGATGTAAGCATGCCCTAGCTTCACTCCATGATGTATGAGCATGAGTCAGAATAAAGAGTTTGCAGTAATGACCTGTGAGACCTCTGCCTGGGGCCGATGTTCTCAGATACCTTTGTTGTCTAGACTCAAAACCTCAGCCCACGGGTTTGAGCAACCTTCTGTCACATTGTCACATTGAATAAAGATCTCCTTGTTCTCCCACCAGATTTTGTTTCTGTGTGATTAATCAGAATGTGATTAAGTGAACCCTGGTTACAGCACTTTATTAAAACCTCTAGATCAAGATGTTGACAGTCTCACCGTAACTCAGGGCTTGCAAATGAGAAATCCTGACTTCTACAGTAAGAGGGTTGACAGCGGACATATGGAAAGGAGGGGCACATTGGGGTGCCAAGGGGGTGTTCTGCTGACAGTGTGTGTTCAATGTGCTCTATACTGGTCTCAGCCATTTTGGGCACCTTATGTCATGTTGTACAAACAAAACATACACAGGCCAACTTCTCTTGCTGCCTCGACAGTCCGTGCAAGGCTGGGAACAGAGGAGAAAAAGCCCATAGTGCCACATCTCCTGAACCTCTGCAAAGACAGAGACAGAATATTGAAGAGAGAAAGATCCCAAAAGAAACTTATACACAAAGAAACGCCCATAAGATTCACAGCAGATATATAGAGATTCTACAAGGAATAAGAGAATGGTGGGCTATAGTTGTTCTTTTTTATTTTTTCCCCAGTCAACCCAATGGTCATTTTAGCACCTTAGCAAAAATACTCTACCCAGCTAGATTATCATTCAAATTTGAAGAAACTGAGTTTCATGGACAGCTTAGGGAATTCAAAACCTTGAAACAAGGTTTGGAAGAATCATTAAAGGAATTATTTATTT